ATGACCCCCTATGAGCAAGCACTTTGGCAACAGTGGGAAGGAAAAACTCCCTTTTAACAGGAAGAAACCTCCGGCAGAACCAGGCTCAAGGAGGGGCGGCCATCTGCTGCGACCGGTTGGGGTGAGATGATGATACAAATGCTCTTTTAAACGTATTAAACACAGTGTACTCCATGTTTTGTGCTCTATATTTTCCCCCTGGGCCAAATCATTAGGCATTACAACAATATTTCCTATCATCTCTATGCTGATGACATTCAGTTACACTGTTCTTTCAAAGTCTGAGTTTTAAATGGTCTTGTTTAAGTAATTGCCCGGCAGATATCAAGCAATGGTTAAACAACAACTTCCTTGCCAGGAAACTTTAGGTTTCACTTTAAAATGTTGGTTTTAACCTTAAGGGCCCTGCATGGTCAAGCTCCCCATTTTATATCTGATCTGCTGAAACCTCATCCCTCTTCCCGAGCACTGAGGTCATCAGGTCAGAGGCTGCTGTGGATAGTAGTGATGTGCAGATCGATATTGAAATATCGATTCTTCCGATACCAGTAATTTATGTTCTAGAATCAATTCTCATCGATATTTTAGTACTTTGGGGTAAATTTGTAGTTTATCATTAACAGGAATACAGTGGAAAGAAACTATATCATTCGGATCGTCTAAATCGGAAGGAACTACTTCCTCTTCCGCCTTTCATAGTCATGTGCGAAACACGGCTGTATAAATGTGTTGCAGCCACTGGCGTGCGCACTCACAACAATGGCTGAGTGAAACGGAGTCATGTGTGGACGTATTTTATCTCCACAAACGGCCACGACATGGTTTGCGATACATGTGGCAAGAAAGTGAGATGCTGTGGCAACAGCACTGACCTCGTCAAACACCTCAGAGTAAATCATATCACAGAATAGGATAAAATATGTTGAGGCAAAGTGAAGAGGAGGACAGGGACAGGTGCTGCTAGGGCGAGACAGACGTCTCTCACAGAGTCCTTCAGTGCTGCAGGCAGGCAACGTGTTCAAATAGCCACAACTTCAGTTTTTTATTTCCATATCACAATTCTGCATTATTAAGCTATTATTATTATTATTATTATTATTACGCGATTACGAGTTTGTGGTTTTCTTTTTTACAGACACAAAGAGTGAGAGAGATCATGTTCTACATTACTTTAAAAGAAGAAGAAGGGATTTTCAGAGCTGTACATATTTGAAGCAGACATCATAGAAACATGGGTCAACCCTGTTTTTGGCATTGAGTGTTAAATTGTGAGAGTTTGAAAAAAACTTGCAAGTTCCTACATTTACACGGTAGAGCAAAGAAAAGTTAGACGATGCGTGTACTATTGAGAATAACTATATACATAAAAACCACGTAAACAGACATGAAAAAGGATGTGTCTGTAAAACTGTCTGTAACCTCTGTAAGATAGACCGCTTCTGCTATCAAAACAGTTTGTGTTGTTTAATCCTGAACCATTCTTGGTCAGGACACTTACATCATCAGAGAAAGCTCATGTTACTCCACACACAGTTGGGAAATCACAATGTTTGACCATAAAATCCCAGAATCATTCTGGGACAATCATTTCTGCAGCAGCAGAAAAATCTCTTTCCACGCCACTGTGCTTTGAAAACAGAAAATGTTGAAACTTTTAAAATGTAAAACATAAAAACAACAAAGACTTAAAATGTTGAAGATGTCCTGATGAAATCTGTGAATGTTTAGATTCATTGGTGTTTCTACAGAGCAAACACAGAAGTTGGGTTTTAGAAATACAAGATGGGAACACGAGGCCGGAGAAGTAAATGCATCACAGAAGCTCCCTGCATGTGTTCAAATAAAGTACAAGTGATTTGCAATAAATAAAAAAGAAGCTCCATGAGACTGTTCACATCATCTAAGAAAGACTCAAACAGAACCTCGAATGTTAAAGTTCACTTCCTGTCTGTGTGGTCATTGTATTTTTATCACCTGAGCTAATGTGAATGCTGTGAAAGCACCCTGGCTTAAAAAGAAGCACACATTTGGAGAAATTGTGCTGTAACTTCAAGTTTTCCATCTTTTCTTTGATAAAAGAAAAACAAGTCATAAACTCCTTGGTATGTTGATATCATGTCAGTAATTCACACAGACATGATGTCATAAAGGCGAGCTTAACAGATAAGGTACGGTCCTCCATACAGCCGTTTGGAAATTTAAATGACATTACAATTATTGTACATTACTCTAAAATCAGTGCTGTGAGAGTGACTTTAAGATCACATCCAGCTTTAAAACTGAATCTAACATCAGCATTCTTGGAAATAGCTTGAAGATATTAAGAGAATATGGCAAATGCAATCACAGGATGGCAAAAAAAAAGGACTTTAAAATGAGATCTTCTTGTTTCATTGGAACAGAGAAGTACCACAACAAAGAATATGTGCAGCTATGTAAGAACAAGCATCTGCTTTGGAGTTTTTCATGTTTTGCATGCAGACTCAGGGCTGCTGGTCTCCTCTTGGCATTTTCTTATTTAAACGTTAGAACCTCAACACTGCATTGCCTTTTGCCATCAAACATTTCTTTCAGCCATCTGAAACACTGGGTTGTGGGGCAGCTGGTAAGGACTTGTGTGTTTCTGGAGAGTCTGCAAAGCTGTTTTGGTTGAAAAAAAACTCTGCACGCTTCACTCGTCAGAAGGCCGTAAATTCGGCTCATTGGTCATGTTAGGGAAAATATTCTAAAACACTTCTTCAGTAAAGACTCAGAGAAGAGAAACACACAGAGTTCTTGCTAGCAAGGGCAGCTCCCTACTGAGAGACTCCGGTGAGGAACTGCCC